AGCAGCAGACGGCCACCCCACCTCTTCCGGGGACTCCGCAGGCCCGCTCCCGGGCCGTGTCAGAGCCTGGCGGCGCCGGCCGGACCCTGCCCGACGGGAGGCAGCGGCCCCGGGGCCTCCCGGACGGGACCCTGCACCCCCGGCCCGGCCACCGCCCCCACCCTGCTCTCCAGAGCCCCCCGTCCTCAGGAGCACCCCAGTGGAGTTGCCGGCCCACTCAAAAGTAAGCGCGACGGTCACCCTGGCCCCCGCGGTCACCGCCCTGCTCCCGGCATCTGCCCACGCCGCCGGCGGCCCCGGTGACGCCCGGGTCGGTACCTTGCGGACCCCCTTGTAGATATAGAAGTAGAGCTCCCGGCCCACATTGAAGCAGAGGCGGTCACCGTTGCCAGACTGATCGTTGAGGTTTACGAAGGAGACGCGGACAGGGTTGGATCCCTGCGAGTTGAAGGGCACCCGGTTGGGCCGGCTGTACTCCGAGTTCGGCAGCAGCTTGTACAGACCTTCCCGGGTGGTGAATTGGGTCTTAATCTCGTTCATCTCCTTCCCTCCTCCCTCCGTCGCCATCTTGGAAAGCAGCGTTCATCCTGCCCTAAGTGCCCGGATCACGCCCACCGCGCAGGCGCCGTCCGGGCCTCGCGCGCTCCCCCCGCCCCTTCCTCCTGGCCCCGCCCACCCGCGAGCCGGCCCCGGCGGAGGCAGGCCGAGGGGCAGGGGCGGGCTTGTTTACGGCCCGACTGCGCAGGCGTGCTCACCTGGCTCGCTCCACGCGGTGGGGGGCGCAGGCTCCGCCCCTGGGCGCGGCCTGGTTCGGCCCCTGTGCGGCGCAGGTGAGGACGGCTCCGCCCGCATCCTCCGCCCGGGCAGGTCCGGGGACTCCTACGGTAACGGGGCTGCGGTGGGCAGCGCGGAGGTGAGCTCGGGGCGGCTGGGACCCGAGACACCCCGGGACCCGGAGGCGCTGAGGAAGAAAGCTGCCTCGGCTGCCGCCCCCTTCTGCCGCGAGGGGAGCCGGAGCCCCAATGTTGTGCCTCGGGAGGGGCGGGGGGCGGTCCCCCTCCCTTGGGACCTGCCCTTCGGCCGCCCGCCCCCCCTCCCCTGCGACCGTCGGGATCCCTTCTGCACCTCCGGGCACTCGAGGACCCGAGTTTTGCGAATCGCCATCCTGTTTAGACGGGTGGAGGGAGAGTGGTGTATATATACACCCAGCACGTGAGCTTGCAAGTCAGATACCTGAATACCTGTTATGGGTGAGCGGTGGCTGATTTTAAGAAAAGTAGGTTGAGTCGGCACTTGTGTTAAGTGTGTCTTCACCAGGTTTTTAGAGAAAAGCGGCGAGGGGACGGGAATCAGAGACTAAGTAGGATTCACTTGTCTTGCCCAGTTATTAATAGCCCTTTGCTTAGAGTCTAAGCCTTAGACGGTTGATTTTTTTTTTAAGAGGCTCAAGTGGAAGCTGCGAAATAGTTTCCCAGGCATAGTTTTGTGCATATACTGTGCTGCGTCTAGATATGTAAGGGCAGGCACACGTGTTGAAGGCGAAACAGTCAGCATTTTCTTCCTGGGCCTCTGAGCATGTTGCACTAGAACAAGAACGTTTCTGAGGTGACAGAAGCATTCTGGCAGAATTCCGGGAGGGGCAGAGACATTTGGTACAGAAAAAATGAACGATTCCTTTAAGTTCACATTGCAGCTGGAGGGCCACAAAAGAAGTGGTGGGAGGTAAGTTCTAAAGTGAGAGGAGTCTAAATCATAAACATCTTATGTATCACAAAGCAAGTAGATGCCGGTGGAAACTGTGCCAATGATGTAATAATGCATTTGACACTAACATCTTGTATCTTTTGTTGGCAAAAAACAAAAAACACAACAACACTAACATTCTGCTTAATTAATAGGTCCTTAAAGTACTTTAAAATTTTCTTGTTATATTGTTTTGATGTTATCTGCATTTACCTAAAAGTCTAATAAATATCAGAATGCTTTTAAAATACCAGGATGTCTTCTGTGGTCACCATGGATGTATCCCAATTTTCTGTAACTGTTATTTTACATTAAAAATATCCTATATAGCCAAAGCCGGTTTGGCTCAGTGGATAGAGCGTCGGCCTGCGGACTGAAAAGTCCCAGGTTTGATTCCGGTCAAGGGCATGTGCCTTGGTTGCGGGCACATCCCCAGTGGGAGATGTGCAGGAGGCAGCTGATAGATGTTTCTCTCTCATCGATGTTTCTAACTCTCTATCTCTCTCCCTTCCTCTCTGTAAAAAATCAATAAAATATATTTAAAAAAAAATATCCTATATAGTAAAAGGCTAATATGCAAATTGTCCCCTTGACCGGGAGTTCTACAAGGGGGCGGGGCTGGCCGGCCAACTGCCCACAGTCCCTCCCCCTGGCCGACCAGTCCTGATCGGGACTGGGCAAGACGGCCAATCGCCAGCCACGCCAAGGGACCTCACCCGTGCATGAATTCATGCACCGGGCCTATAGTATATTTATAATGATCACCTTGAGGGATAGTGACATCCTGAATCATCTATAATAATAAAAGCATAATATGATAATTAGACCACATGTCCTTCTGGACGAAGTCAGGGCTGTGAGGAAAGCCTGGATGCCTGCTGGTGGCCTGAGGGAAGCCTGGGTCCTGGGTGCTAGAGGAAAGCCTGTGCCGGCAGCCGGGGGAAGGAGGCCTACTCTTGCACGAATTTCATGCATCGGGCCTCTAGTCTAAAAATAATTCAGTTGTGTTCCCGTTATCAAGGGGGATAAAAGCATAATAATACTTTTTGGAAAAAAACTCAGCAAGCAAAAATTAAAACAAAAATATTTTGTTAGCCCTCAACCACAGCTTTCAATTACCCAGAATACCTGTATGCCTCAAGCATTCTATTAGGGTTTTATTCTGTATGAATTTAACATATTTTATTGTGATCACAATTATAATAGGCTGTTCACTTTGTCCCATCAATACCTTTGAATAATCTCTATTCTTAGTTTTTCTCCCCACACACTTAAGGATGCAGTAAATAATACCTGAACATATATAACTGGGCCTGACCTGAAATTCATTTCTGATTTTCAGTTTCATACTGGAATTTCTTATTGGATTTGTGCCTCCAATTCATCAGTTTCTAAACCTTAGCAGTTCCCTTTCCTTTTCTTCAAACTTGAATTATTATGTAACTAGAGGCCCAGTGCACAAATTCATACACGGGTGGGGTTGGGCCAGCAGGGGGGAGGGGCCACAGGCAGTTGGCCAGCCAGCCCCACCCCTGATCCGGGTGTTGGGGGCCGATCAGGGCCCAGATCAGGCTGGTTGGCTGCCACAGTGCGTGTTATAGCTACTGGTCGTTCCAGTCAATCTGGTCATTCCACCATTCCAGTCCCTGGGCTTTTACATATATAGATAGCTTTATGAATGATTTCCTTAATTTCACTTTTTCTCTCAACTTTGCTCCTATAAACAACTTCCAAATTAATTTCCTTAAAACATTACTTTAGATATTGCATTATTGCCCAGAAACTTTCAATGACTTACAACAGCCATATTATTTAAGTCATGCACCCAGTAATTCTCAGCCTGTTGTTACATATTGCAGAAAGCCTGCATTCCAGTCAGACTGTTCTGCATCACCCTTAGCTCTTTCTCTTGCTGGAAAAGAACCTTCTTTCCTCTGCTTTCCCCTTCATAGCCTGTTCTTAGGCCTAGTCTAAGTCCCATCCTCACCAAGCCTTTCCCAAGCTCCTGGTGATAAAACCATATTTGAAACCAAGCATTCCCTATTCAGGATACATGACTGGCTTCAGGAAGTGTTTGAACTCTTTGTAATTGTATTCAAAATGTTGTGTACATGTTTTATTATGTTATTGGAGTCTGTAGCCTTCATCAAATTTTCAAAGAGGTGTGACCACCCCCCCTCCCCAATTTAAAAATTACCTCTCTAAACTTCTGTGGCACTTTGCCAAGCCTTCATTTTTCTTTTTCTTTTTTAATATATTTTTATTGACTTCAGAGAGGAAGGGAGAGGGAGAGAGAGATAGAAACATCAATGATGAGAGAGTATCATTGATCACCTTCTGGGGATTGAGCCCGCAACCCAAGCATGTACCCTTGACTGGAATCGAACCTGGGACCTTCCAGTCCGCAGTCCGATGCTCTATCCACCGAGCCAAACCAGCTAGGGCTAAGCTTTCATTTTCCATGTATAATATCCTAAACCATAACCTTCTTTTGGTATTTATTAGAATATGCTAACACTTGGAGTGCGGGTGAATTTCCCGCCAAAATATAAGATGGCTCTGTCTTTTGGTTTTGTTCCATCCACCAAAAGGGTGGATTACAAACAAATATTTGGTAATACGCAGTTACAATCGGCCCGAGTTTACACGTTTCCCGCACTCCACCGCAAATCTATATGAACCGAGTTAAAGACGGCTCCCGCGGAGTACGCGCAATTCACGCGAGCCGACTTAACTCGTTTCCCGCACTCCAAGTGCTAATTGTCTTGTATTGGTATTTATCTTTTAGTATGTACAGTACATGCTGTCTTTCAACCAGGTTGTATGCACACTCGAGGATATGAGGGGCCTCATTCAAATTATTTTTTTAATGTTTTTGTTGATTTCAGAGAGAGAAAGGGAGAGGAAGAGAGAGAGAGAAACATCAATGAGAGAGAATCATGGATAGGCTCCCTCCTGCATGTCCCCTACTGGGGATTGAGCCTACAACCTGGGCATGTGCCCTGACCAGGAATCCAACTGTGACTTCCTGGTTCATAGGTCGACACTCAACCATTGAATCACACCAGCCAGACTCATTAAGATTCTTTTTTTTTTCTTTTTTTCCAGTTGATCAGCAGCCTAGCCAGGTTCTAGCCAGGTTCTCTAGCCAGGTTCGGTCTTTAAAGATTCTTTATATCCTCAAATATTTGAGTGCTCAGGTGTGCCACTCGGTTCTAGCCTTTGGGAGGCATCAGTAAACAAAAATCCCTCACTTGTGGAGTTTATATTCTTGCAAGGAGAAGACAGAGGATAAACAATAAACACAAATAAGTAAACCAAATAGTGATTGTGCTAGGAAAAGAAGTAGAGCAGGATAAGAGGGTTGGGAATGTGTTGGGTAGGTTACAGTTTAAAATATGGTGATCAAGATAAGCCTCATTGAGAAGGTGACATTTCAGCAAAGACTTGAAAGAGGTGAGGGCATGAGCCATGGCCTATCAGGGGAAAGTGCCAAGCATGCAGAGGAAAAAGCCACGGTGTGTTTATGTAACCGGACAATCAATAGGTCCTTGCTGCCTGTCGCTACTTGAGCCAATTAAGCAGAAACAGGGTTGAGTCACATATAAGCATTTATTCCAATACTGCCATCAGTATGGAAGAGCAGCAGGTCAGCCACAAAGCATCTGCTCTGCAGGCCCCCATAAACCAGCTGCTTATATAGGGTAGGACAAGGATTACATGGGGAAGTAGGGATTACAGGCATAGGGAAGTAGGAAGCTGGATTGGTACTCCATTGTTTGTGCAACAAAGTTGTCAGTCTTTCCATAATAATAGGCAGTTCTTGAATGAAAATGGACTGCATTCCAAGGTTGACTCCCAGGTCCCAGGGTGGGGCGTACAACTCCCAGCCAGGTTAGAATTTCCTTTCTTTAACCAGAACAAGGCAATCACAGTTAACAGAGCATAATTATATTTCCCATAAACATAGCTAGTTCCCAATATTCTACTTTTGCTCCTAACACAAAATAGAACACAAGTCAGTCGGCCAGAGTGGCTAGAGCAGAGTGGGCAGGGAAGCCACTGCAGGCTTTAAAATCCATTTGCTGATTTGAAGGTAGACTGTGGGAAGCAAGAGTGGAAGGTCCCATTGGGAGGCTAGTGTAGTAATCCCAGCCAAAGGAAGTGGAGGCTTGGACTAGGGGTGGTCGCAGTCCAGACTGAGAGAGGTTAGAGTATCCTAGATGTATTCTGGAGGTAAAGCCAATGGGACTTCCCAGCAGATTAGATATGATTTATGGGAGAAATGGAGGAGTCAAGAATAAATCCAGCCCTACATGCTTTGGCTCAGTGGATAGAGCGTTGGCCAGGTTCGATTCCAGCCAAGGGCACATGCCTGGGTTGCAGGCTCAATCCCCAGTAGGGGACCTGTTGGAGGCAGCCAATCAATGATTCTCATCATTGATGTTTCTCTCTCTCTCCCCTTCTCCCTTTCTCTCTGAAATCAATAAAGAAATATATTTTAAAAAGAAAAAAGAATAAATCTAGAGTAGGTACAACAGCTGGAGAGTGGAAGTGTCATTAACTTAGATGAGAAGCCTGGGAAGGAGCAGGTTTTGAAAGGAAGATCAGGAGTTCATCTTTTAACATGAGTGGGGGAGGTGGCTGTTAGGCACTTAGAGGAAACATCCAGGAGACCGTGACTAATCAAGGGCTACCTTAGACCGAGCTGCCAACATGTACTTGGCAGTCATTAGCTAAGAAATGGATTTAAAGCCTGGGTACCATCACCAAGGGAGTGAGTATGAGCAGTGGGACAATCCAGGAGGTTGGGGACTAAAACATACCATTTTTTTTTCAATGTAATACATGTAGAGTATTCACTTTAGGTCAAACTTATTGTTTTTCAGATTCAGAGAATAATCCATTAGAAAAGCATGTTTGCCTGTTTGTTTTTAAATTTGAGGAGAACACGTGTTTGCCACAGTGACCTTCTAAAGAGAAATAGACATAGAAGGGTATCTTTAGGAACCATATTTGAAATCTTTACTGACTCACTATATAAAGTAACCAACCTCAGATTTATCTTGTTGGATGAGCTTATTCTACTATTACATTACTAGAGGCCTGGTGCATGAAAACTCATGCACTGGAGGGGGGGGACCCTCAACCTGGCCTACTCCCTCTCACAGTCCAGGAGGCCTCAGGGGATGTCCCCCAGGGAGCAGGCCTAAGCCTGAGTCTGGCCTCCCTCTGCAGGAGGCAACTGGGCCAATCAGGGAAAGGCACCGCCTCCATCACCCCACCGCTGCTGCTGCCTCTGGCCTCCCTCTGTGCGAGGCAACCGGACCTATCAGGGGAAGGCGCCGCCCCCATCACCCCGCTGCTGCTGCCACTGCCAGCTTCCGCGGCTGCTGGCCCTCCTCTGCCCTCACAGCCACTGCAGCTTTTGTCCGAAGGACGTCTGGAAGATGTCCGGTCTATCCGGTCTAATTAGCATATTACCCTTTTATTAGTATCAGTGGTTCTCAACCTTCCTAATGCCGTGACCCTTTAATACAGTTCCTCATGTTGTAGTGACCCCCAACCATAAAATTATTTTCGTTGCTACTTCATAACTAATTTTGCTACTGTTATGAATCGTAATGTAAATATCTGACATGCAGGATGTATTTTCAGGGGTCGCGACCCAGAGGTTGAGAACTGCTGGATAGATGATTCAGTACTTCTTTATAAGACCATTATGGGACTTGAAAATAAACTTGGAAAACATCCCATAACATAGTGTCCTTAAATACCACTTCTACTTCTGCCTCAGATCTGCAGAATGGTAAGTCTGACACACCATTAGGATTGCTAAATTGTGATTTATTTATTTTTAATCCTCATCTAAGTGTATGTTTTTCATTTATTCTAGAGAAAGAGGGAGAGAGAGTAACATCTATCGGTTGCCTCCTGTACACACCCTTAACAGGGTATCTAGCCTGCAACCTGGGTATGTGCCCTGACTAGGAATCAAACCCACATCCCTTAGGTGAACAGGACAATGCTCAACCAACTGTGCCACATTGGCTAAATTATATGTTTTTAGATACAAATTGATCATGTACAAAGCATCTTATTTCTTTTTTTAAAAAATTATTTTTTGTTGGTTTCAGAGAGAGGAAAAAAGAGAGAGAAACATTAATGATGAGAGAGAAACATTGATTGGCTGCACGCCCCCTACTGGGAATCGAGTGCACAACCCGGGTATATCCTGACCAGGAATCCAACTGTGACTTCCTGGTTCATAGGTCAATGCTCAACCACTGAACCACACTGGCTGGGCAGCATCTTATTCCTTTTTAAGTAATCATTAAGTGGATGCAGTACTTAATATTTCACACATATCTTGAAATATAAGTGCTTCTTAAAGATCTTTTAAGGTATTCAAATACAGCACATTTTGTGAGAGCCCACTAGGTAGGCATTAATGCTAAGTGCTTATACCTGCTCTTACTTCATGAACAACCTTATAAATAGGAACCATTATCTTTTTAGGTATGAGAAAACTTAGTGTCAGAAAAATTAAAATGACTTGTCTAAGTTACTGTCTAGTGCAGGGGTTAGGAACCTTTTGTCCTGCCAAGGGCCATTTGGATATTTATAACATCACTTGTGGCCCATACAAAATTATCAACTTAAAAATTAGTATTTGGTGAAACATTTAATTAACTCACCTCTAATGCCTTGGCAGGGCCAGACCCAATGACTTTTTGGGCCTTATATGGCTCATGGGCCAGATGTTCCCCACCCCTGATCTAGAGCTAGATATTAGCAGAGACAAAATTTGAATTCAGGTCTCAAAAGAGAAACATCTTAAAGTAAAATTTTAAAAAAATATTCATTTTAAAATTATACATTACCGAAAGGTGAAGAATAGCAATTTAAGTGAAGCAATTATATTTTTTTAATGCAAAGGATGTTTTTTAAAACTCAAAATTAGAAGAGAGACCTCACAGAATGGAATAAAATATTTGCAAATCATATCTCTGATAAAGTACTTGTATGTAGAATCTGTAAAGAACTCCTACACAAAACACAAATAACCTAACTTTAAAGTGGGCCAAAGACCCAAATAGACTTTCCTCCAAAGAAGATACACAAATGGCCAGTAAGCACATGAAAAGATGCTCAGCATCATTGCCATCAGGGAAATGCAAATCAAAACCACAATGAGATGCTACTTCGTACCCATTAGGATGGCTATCATCAAAAAGACAGATAACAAGTGGTGAGTATGTGGAGAGATTCAAACCCTCATACACACGCTAGTAGGAATGTAAAACAGCGCAGCCACGTTGGCTAATAGTCTGGCATTTCTCAAAGGTTTGAACAGTTGCCCTGGTCCTGACCAGTATGAATCAGTGGTTAGATCATCGCCCGTGCGCTGAAGGGTCCTGAGTTCAATTCCCAGTTGAGGGCCTGTACCTGGTTATAAGCTGGATCCCTGATCAGGGTACGTGCAAGAGGCAACCAATCAATGTCTCTCTCTCACATTGATTTTTCTCTCTCCCCTCCCCCTCCCTCCCCTCCTTCCCTTCCACTCTCTAAAAATCAATGGAGCAGAAAATATCCTTGGGAGAGGATTAACAGCAGCAAAAAACATCTGTCCTGACCAGGTTGCTCAATTGGTTGAAGTGTCGTCCCGTACACCAAAAGGTTTCAGGTTTGATCCCCGTCAGGGCACATACCTAGGTTTCAGGTTCAATGCCCAGTCAGGGTGCATACAGGAGGCAACTGATCAATGTTTTTTGTGTGTTTTTTTTCTTTCTCCCCCCTCCACCCCCCGCTTTCCTCCCTCTTACCTTCCTTTTCTCCCTCCCTTCCTTCCTTTCTCTTTAAAAAAATCAAGTGATATCTCTGGTGAAGATTTTTAAAAAATATTTTTATCTGTTTAAACAGCTACCATATGACCCAGCAATTCCACTCTTAGTATATACCCAAGAGAAGTGAAAACAGGTCCACACAAAATCTTGTACGTGAATGCTCATAGCAGCGTTAGTCATAATAGCCACAAAGTAGAAATAACCCAAATGTTCATTGACTGATGAATGGATACACAAAATGTGGTCTATCCATACAATGGAGTATTATTCAGCCAGAAAAAGGAATGAAATACCGATACATACAACACGTGTAATCCTTGAGAACATTATGTAAATGACAGGAGGCAGACACAAAAGGCCACATACTGTATGATTCCATTTATATGAAATGTTTAGAACAGGCAAGTCTTTTGAGACAGAAAATAGGTGAGTGGTTGCCTAGAGGTGGTGGGGAAAGGGGGAGGAGGGGTGACTGCTTGGGTACAAGGTCTCTTGGGTGATGAAAATGTTCTAATAGTGATTGTGTGAATAGTTGCACAATTCTGAATATACTAAAAACCACTGAATTATACACTGTAAATGGGTGAATTATATGTGTTATTAAAACTAGAGCACACCCAGTATAGTGCCCAATTTATGTCTCAGACAGCTACTAAATTATGAGAAATGAATAATTGTTAGGTTTGTTGGCCTTACCTAGTAAATGGACCGTCTAGGGGTGACATGAAGAAGTTACAGGACAATAAGGGTTCAGAGAACCAAACAGTCGGTAATCTCTACCATAAAATATGAACCTCCCAAGTTGTACCTGCATTTTTATCTCTACATGAACCCATTCTCCCACTTTTCTTCTAGGATCAAAGGAAGAGATATCTCTTGGTGTGGAAACGATTTCTCCACCACGCTCTCGTAATAAGTCCCTCTTGTCCCCTCTAGGACACCAGGCTCCAATAGTGACTTACCTACCATGTCTCCTGGGCAAACTCCCAGCCTGCACTGCTCCCACCTCCTCCCATGCCCTATAAGCATGCCGAGCAAGGACAGTAGCTGCAAAGAGGAAACAGTGGGCAGTGTGCCCGAGAGTTTGGCCATGTTGTGGCAGTGGTCAACAGAATTGCTCTTTCTCCACTGAAAAACAAAACCTCTACCTATCGTGCCATCTCTTGGGTCCCGGCCTTAAAAAACTCAGAGCTGACTCCCACCCTCATATAAAAATAGCTCCACATGTGCTGTTTTAATTCTCTTAGACTCCAGGGAGAAGACAGAAATGTGGGTTCCAGTCCACATAATGAAGGAAAAACATAGGAAGAAAATGAGAGAATCGGTTGTCACAAGGCTGTGACATCCTGTCACTCACAGACACGGAACCGGTTGAATTATTAGAGTATTCTTAGCACTGCACCCGGATGAGGACACCACTTTTTGTAGATAGAACCAGCTTTATTTTTCACTGTAAACCTCCCCCAGTTATCGGTTCAATGACAGCCTGTCCAAGCAGCCCAGTCAATAGTGTAGGTTTTATCTCTTCAGAGATTAGAGAAGGGCACTCAAGCTTGATAACTTCAATAACAGTTTCTAACTGCGTTCAAGCTTGATAACCTCAATAACAGTTTCTAACTTACTCCCTCTGAGGACCTTAAACAGGAAAGAGAGAAGGAGAGTGAAGGGAAGAGTTGTGCTGGCCACACCGCTGGCTGCCCAGTGACCTACCACCATATGCTTCTGTGGACTTTCTGTGGACTTGTGTCTGGGGGCCTGTGACCCAAAGTAAGATGCATTTGTTAACGTAAAAATCCATTGTAGTGGTTGAACGTTGACCTATGAACCAAGAGAATCTAGGTTCGATTCCCAGGCAGGGCACATGCATGGGTTGTGGGCTCAATCCCCATTAGGGCGCATGCAGGAGGCAGCCAATCGATGTCTCTCTCTCTCATTGATGTTTCTGTTTTTCTATTCCCTCTCCTTTCCTCTCTCTCTCAAAAAAAAATCAATAAAAACATTTTTTTATTTTTTAAATATATTTTTATTGATTTCAGAGAGGAAAGGAGAGGGAAGGAGAGATAGAAACATCAATGATGAGAGAGAATAATTAATGGGCTGCCTCCTGCACGCCCCACACTGGGGATCGAGCCCACAACGGGGGCATGTGCCCTGACCTGGAATTGAACTGTGACCTCCTGGTTCATAGGACGACGTCAACCACTGAGCCATGCCAGCTGGGCCATTACTATTTTTTTTAATCCATTTGAGAAGTTCCTATTTAGAAAAGTAAAAATACAGTCTATCTGACTAACAAGATCTGGTCTAGGACGGGCAGGGGGTTCTCCCTGGAAGGTGACCGCAAAGGGCGGCTATTTCTGGTATTTACCTGGTGAGGCTCCGGTTCACTGGCGCAGGGACCACTCTCTCACTGCAAAGCGGGAGACCCCTCCTAGATCGTGAAGCATGAGGCAAACGCACAACACGTACTGCATCTATATCTAGTTTTCTCCTTTTCCACCTTGCTCGTATTTTTATCTTTTTTTTTTTCCCTTCCTGGTGTTTCCATTTCTGCATGCTCCATCACTGAGCTGTGATACCTGTGGTTCCTCATACCTGTCACACCTGGGCTTTCGTGCCTTGGCACAAGTTAGGTTCCCTTTCCGCTCCGGTCGCCAGAGGGGATAGAATTTGCTGCATCCTCTAAACCTTAACCCAAAAAATCCCTCTGCCTGTTCATCCCTCGGGTTTCAGCTTCAGGGCTGTGTCCTCACCTCTCCCTGATGCCCAAAATCTAAATGATGTACTTTCTTATTTTCTCAGCTTTGTTATTGCCTTTATAGCACTTACACAATTTCTAATGATGTACTCATTATATATCCACGCGTTTTCACACGTTTCCCTAAGTAACACCCGCCTCCCCCCGTGGACTGTAGGCCCTTTTGAGAACAGGGACCTGTCTTTTTTGTTTGGTGTTTTGTATCCAGATGAGGCCTGACCTGCGGTAGGCACTCAATATATATCTGACAAATGCATGACTTGCCTCCTCTGAGAAACATTCTCTAGCTTTGAGCACTCTGTGTTAATGCTTAACTGTACCGTGGATCTCATCTCCCTAGGCGGTCAGCTCCGCGTGATTGCAGCTCACGCACCGAACACCTGCCTGCTTCCTTCTCTCATACCTCACCCCAAGCTCTGCTCCGCCTGAGGCTCACACCCCGTGCCTTCAGATAGCTCTGCTGTCTAGCATGGGGGGGGGGGGAAGTGCTTATCTCCCTTATTTATATTTTATGTATTTGGCTTTGGAGTAAATATTTATCATCCCCATTGTTCAGTCACTTCTTTAGTCCCTACTCATTCCAATTTCCTCTCCCCCAAAATAAAATACTGTCCTAATTCTTTAGGGCCACATGTCAACTTAATAGGGTAGGACAGTGGTCGGCAAACCACGGCTGGCGAGCCACATGCAGCTCTTTGGCCCCTTGAGTGTGGCTCTTCCACAAAATACCACGTGCGGGCGCACACATACAGTGCAATTGAAACTTCGTGGCCCGTGCGCAGAAGTCGGTTTTCGGCCTGGGTGAGTCTATTTTGAAGAAGTGGCGTTAGAAAAAGTGGGGGGTGTTGGTCAGTCAGGCGACGGGAGACGCGGTGCAGGCGGGCCGAGGGATACGCAGCGTGGGGGAGGCGTGCGTGATTCATGCACGAGTTGAGTGAGCCAGTCAGTCAGCAGTCTCATTGTGCAGTGGTTAGTGCTAGTCGCGTCCGCAAATCGCTCGCGGATGACAAAAGTACCTACTCGAAGCATAAAGTTACCTGTATTTTTCCAACCAGCTGCAAATCCTACAGGTATTTTTGTCATCAATTTAAGAATTGTAATTCTTTTGTGTTGGTGGCTTTATTATTATATTGACATTGGCAACTTTGAAATGCAATTGCTGGATTTAAAAAACAAAGAACTGTGGAGCTTGAAATTTGAGCGTCTTTGTGCTGATATAGAAATATTGGAGAAAAACAAATGTGAACTTAGTTCACAGCACAAGTGGTCTGCTTTGAAAGACCTGGAGAAGGAAGATATGTTGATTTTTAACACCTGGAATAGTATTCCTGACTCATATAATCAACTGAAAAAACTAGCGTTTGCTGTTCTTTCCTTATTCGTGTCTACATATTTATGCAAACAATCATTTTCAAGCATGAACCTTATCAAGAGTAAATTGAGAAGCCGTCCTATTGATGAGAACCTGGAATGGTGCCTAAAATTAAAAACAACAATATACAAACCTGACTTACCCAAACTTTCCAAGGAGATGCAAGGCCATTGTTCACATTAGTGTTTGTCAGTCATTGTCATGATTTAATTTTATGGACATTGTAAGGTAAATTGTAAGGAATTTAATTTTATCAATAAATAATATCATTATTAAGTATGATATCAAGTTTTATTCAATGTACCTATAGTTTAACTAAGACTTAAAACTTTAAGTAAAGTTTATTAAGTTAATTTTAGGGAACATTGTGGAGTGAAAGAAGATGTAGTGTCGAGGATTGAGAAAGGTATGTTGAGATGGTTTGGACATATAGAGAGGATGAACGAAAGGAGATAGACGAAACAAGTATACAAGATGAGTGTGGATGGTAGCGTTGGAAGGGGTCGACCTCAGCGAACGTACCTCAATCAGATTGAGGATGTTTTTAGCAAAGGCCAGCTTAGGAGTACCCTAATTAAGTTAATAACAATGTACCTACCTATATAGTTTAAGTTTAAAAAATTTGGCTCTCAAAAGAAATTTCAATCGTTGTACTGTTGATATTTGGCTCTGTTGACTAATGAGTTTGCCGACCACTGGGGTAGGATATTGAATTTGCTGGAGAGGTTTTAACAGCATAAGGATTATCAACAGGCTCTAGATCTGTTTACTGGGAAAGAAAAGATTACTAATTTGGACATAGAACAATTTATTTTTCTTTTTGCCATGTCTTTCTCATATAGAACAATGCTTTATAGGTAATTGATGCTCAGGAACTGTTTAGTGGGTTGAGCACATACCCAAAAAGAGCACTGGACGTAAGGTTAAAAGACATGACACAAGTTCTACTCATGATCCCATTATTTGATGATGTGTTGGAAGCACTGGCCAGCGCAGTAAGAAAAAGCTCGAAATGAAACTGTCGCTATTTATGACTGTACTAGAGGCCCGATGCACCAAATTCGTGCAAGAATAGGCCTTCCTTCCGTACCGGCTTCCCTCTGTCACCCAGGACCTGGGCTTCCCTCACTATGGGAAATTTTCAAAAAGAAGAGTAATGTTGGGGCAGGGGGGGACTTTTCTCCCAAATATTATGAAACCTCTTTAATTAAAACATCACTGGAATACAAGAGTACAGAATTAGACCCCAGTAAAAATGGACTTATGATAAAAATGGCATGGTTAATTTAATGAAAGGTATTGAAACAGCTAGCCATTTATAACAAAATAAATATAGACTCCTACTTCTCTCCTTATTCCAAAATAAACTCCAGATGGAGCAGAGATTTAAATATAAAAATTAACCATAAGAGTCCACAAAGAAACTATTTAAATAAATATATTTATAGTCTTGAAATGGGAAAGGCTTTCCTAAAAATAGCCCAAAACTCAGAAGCCATAGGATATTTTTATTCTATGTCTTGCATGGCACAAAACACCATTTAAAAAGATGACAAACTTGGAAAACATATGTGTAACACATATGGCAAGAAGATAACATCCCTAAAAATAAAGATGCTTTTCAAAATCAATTACAAAGACAACCCAGTAGAAAAAAACAGGCAAAGGACTTAAACAAGCAATTCACTCAGGAAGCTCCCTGCTCCACTGCCCCCTCCCACCTTTGTATAAATTCTCTGAATCACCTTTGCATAGAAAATAAAAGTCTTTGAGCCCAATGGTTAGTGAATAGAGCGTCAGCCTGTGGACCGAAAGGTCCCAGGTTCGATTCTGGTCAACAGCACGTACCTTGGTTACAGGTTCCTCCCTGGCCTGGGCCCTGGTCAGGGTGTGTGCAGAAGGCAACCAATTGATATGTTTCTCTCTAATCGATATTTCTCTCTGTCTTTCCCTCTCTCTGCCACTCTCCTTAAAAATCAATGGAAAAATATCCTCGGGTGAGGATTAACCAAAAAAATAAATAAGAAAATAAAAGTGTTTGCTTTGTTTTAAAAAATATTTTCTTTTGCCCTAACCGGTTTGGCTCAGTGGATAGAGTGTTGGCCTGTGGACTGAAAGGTCCCGGGTTCGAGTTCGGCTAAGGGCATGTACCTTGGTTGAGGGCACATCCCCAGGGGAAGGTGTGCAGGAGGCAGGGGATGCTAAACCACATTAAGGTCACAAGTAGTATCTTGGAAATAGGAAGGGGCCCTGGCGGGGTAGCTCGGTTAGAGCAGAGTCCAGATGCACCAAGGTTTTGGGTTTGATCTCTGATCAGGGCACATACAAGAAGCAAACGATGAATTCATAAATGAATGGGACAACAAATCTCAATCTCTCACTCTCTCGCTCTCTCTCCTCCCCCCCCCCCTTCCTCTAAAAAAAATAAATAAAAAAAACCCAGTGACCTCCCGGTCGTCACTGATTCCATTCCCAGTCAGGGCACATGCCTGGGTTGTGGGCTCACAATCCCCAGTTGGTAATGTGCAGGAGGAAGCCATCAATGTTGATGTTTCTCTCTCAGTGTTTTCTTTTCTTTTTCTTTTTCTTTTTAGAGGACGTTTATTAAAGCTGGGACAGTGAAACAAGGAACGGCCTACGATAGAAGCAACAGGAGAGACACTATGCAAGGAAGTGAGCGTAGGCTGGGCTGCTGTGGCTCACTAAGGAGTCAGAGAAAAGGGGCCTTGGTGACAGGGGTAGGGGGTTAGCCTGGGGCCAGCTGCTGCTGCCCATGCTTATTTTCTGAAGTTTCACATAAATGTCATACTGTTTTTGCTTATTTTCTGAAGTGTCTTACATAAATGTCATACTGTTTTTGCTTCATGGATGCAGTATCTACTCATCTGAGAATGTCAGCATTGGTTTTAAAATGTTCATCTCCTTGCATAGTCTTTTTCTCCAACGTTGCTTTTCTCCTGTTCATCGGTTTTGATCTCTAAAGCTCACATTTAGAGGCTCCTCTCAGATGTCTGGTTAACCCTTGGCTGTCTGCTTATGATTAAGAGCATATTTGCAAGCCTTGCGGTGGCGGGGGGGGGGCGGGTGGGTGTCCCTTAGAGTTTAGGAGATGCATACCTGTGGGGAAAGAGAGAGAAACTGCTGTGGGGGCGGGGTGCTCCTGGGGCGGGGAGAGGGTCTCATCCATGTTTCTATCTCTCCCTCACTCTCCCTTCCTCTCTCTCTAAAATCAATAAAAACATATTTTTAAAAAGCAGACAAAACAGAAAATGAGATTGAGCATATGATTACTGAATGCTGGGCTCCCATCCTTTTGTCCTCACTAGGCTCCTAGGACACTGACAACCAAATGTTTACTTTCTGTGCAGAAATCTCAGGAGATTCTTTCCTGGAGAATCTGACGGTTCCCAAGATATAAACGTAAGAGTTTCGACACATGCAGATTACCCTCCATTGAACCCCAAAGTCTGAAAGTCCTAAAAACCATGTGCTCAGATATTCAAACAGATTTTTAGCCCTAGACTTTTTTTTTAATCCCCACCCAAGGATTTTTTTCCCATTGTTTTTTTGTGATTTTTATTTTTGAGAGGAAGAGTGGAAGGGAGGGAGGAGGGGGAAAGAGAGAGAGAAACATTGATGTGGCAAAGACATATCCATTGGTTGCCTCCCACACATGCCCTGACCCTGACTGGGGATCAAGCCTACAACTGAGGTACATGCCCTTGACCGGGAATTGAACCCGAGACCCTTCTAACCACTGGGCAAAACCAGCTAGGTCTAGCCCCGACTCTTAATCGTAAGCAGACAACCAAGGATTACCCAGACATCTGAGAGGAGCCTCTAAATGTGAGCTTTAGAGATCAAAACCGATGAACAGGAGAAAAGCAACATTGGAGAAAAAGACTATGCAAGATGAACATTTTAAAACCAATGCTGACATTCTCAGATGAGTAGATACTGCATCCATGAAGCAAAAACAGTATGACATTTATGTAAGAAACTTAAGAAAATAAAAAAGGTCTTGGATACTAAAAACATGATAGCAGGAATGAAAGGACTAGAAAGGTTGGAAAAGAACATTGAGAAAATCTCCCAGAAGGAGCCACGAGACAAGGAGGAATCACAGGAGAATAAGAAAGGGGACCACCCCAGCAGGCCCGACCTCCAAGCAGGGAGGAGACGATCATCCACAGATATTCCAGAGAAACGTCCAGAACTGAAGGACGTGAGATCACAGAGTAAATGAACCCACCGAGTGCCCAGCAAAATGGATAAAAATAAACCCACGCTAGACGCAACATTGTGAAATGCTAGAACACTCGGGAACCAGACAAGATCCTACCAGCCTGCAGAGAGGAAAGGTCATGTGAAGGATCAGAAACCAGGATGGCTTCAGACTTAGCGGCAGCCACACCAAAGCCAGAAGGCAGGCTGGAATACAAGCTCTTTGACTTTTGTCTCTATGACCTTGGTCTTTCTTGTTCACGGATGAATCCAGGTACTTAGAGGCAGCGCCAGACATGTACAAGGTTCTCAATAAAAATTAGTTGAATGGCCCAGCTGGTGTGGCTCAGTGGTTGAGCATTGACCTGTGAACCAGGAGGTCACAGTTAGATTCCGGGCCAGGGCACATGCCCGGGTGTGGGCTCGATCCCCAGTGGGGGGCGTGGAGGAAGCAGCCAATCAATGATTCTCTCTCTCATCGTTGATGTTTCTATCTCTCTCTCCTCCTTCCTCTCTGAATTTAATAAAAATATTTTTTAAAAATTGTTGAATGAAAGAGAACAATACTTTCAAAATGCTGAGGATAAGTTTCTTGCCACCTGTAACTAATCCCCGGGGAAATATCAGTCAAGTCTGGGGTAGAGGCAAGACATGGTTGGACATAGAAGGACTCAAACACTCTACCCTCTGTGTACCATTTCTCAGGAAGCTATGCTAGGATATGTTCCATCAAAACGAGAGACTACTAAAGAGAGGCCAGCAGCACAGGAAGCGGGGAGTTCTAAACGCTGGGGGGGGGGGTACAATGGAGTCTTTGGGAATAGGAGAAAAGACCCCAGAGACTCTTTTGCTAAATAGGAAAAGCCTCTCAAACCCCA